GTCGTCTGGTAGATTTAAAAGGCCTTAGTTTATTTCTTACTATATATCTGAACAGATTTGACTTTATCCAAACTAGAAGGAAATTGTATAAAAAGCTGGTTTGTTTATTAAGTTGGTTACTTTGGTTTAGTTTACTGCGTTGGTTTACAGTTTAGATTGTTTTAAGTTTGTGATAAGCAAACTGGACACGTCAGAATGACAATGCTCACATTTTTTAGATGTTTATGACATCAATATGCTATTTTCATATTTTGTAACCTTCCATTTTGACTAGTGCTCATGGCAAGAAGTAATATTTCATGTCTGGAAGCATTGCTGGATAATTAATGAATTTCATAATAGGCCTACAACAAGCGTGCTACACCCTGTCTGATTGGTTACAGATTCTGGTTGAAGCTGACAGCCAGATCAAATCTAGCATAGACTTACTAAGTTTACTCTGGTCAGGGTTGCCAGGTCATCCCAAAAAAAGTAGCCCAATGGCCAGGCGCACAAGAACACAGTTACGCCATCCACAAAACAGGTTAAACAAACCATTTGCGTTGAATTTTTCTTCAGTTTTGCTATAGTATACCATTCATGAATATGTATAGCCTATACCTTGCTACTGGCCATTTAGTACATACTTGACTGCTTACAAGTAGCAACTTGTAGCCAGATTTACTAACAGCTTGCGTCAGCGCAAACCATCTTAACTTTGCCGTTAAAGCTACTGTCTGCTAAATTTACTGAAGACATGCAGTGAAAAATTAGCGCTGAAAAGGCATGGACAGGGTTAGTTTTGCAGCTGACCTTATTTCATATGCATTTGCTGGAGTTTCCCTTTCAGACACAAAATTTATGTGGAGAGTATTTAAATGAATAATGCGAGTTGATTTACTAAGGTTTGCACTAGTCATTTACAGGTATTTGCGCCATTATTTAACGCCCAAAAAAAGCATGTCTTAAACCAGACGCTAATTCGCGCTGCTCTTGGTAGATTACGTTGGTCATTATGGAAATGATCCGGCTGCGTCTGCATTCTTTAATTTGCATGTCGTCAGTAGATCAAGCTCAGAACTTTCCACTCCCATTTCCGTCTTTTTGGAATTACATTCTCACGCTAATTTGCCCTGTTTAGTAAATCTGGCCCTTGAAGACATTTTCCAAAATTAGGATGTCACCTCATAATAATGTTATGCCATTTCTAACATTTCAAAAAGCTAATATTTCAGTCATTTAGCAGTCAGAAGTCTTGCATAATTCATCATATTTATCACTTCTTTAGTTCCAGAATTGACTGCAGTCACTTTACTAGTTAGTCTTGAAATACAATCTGCCCCGTGCGCTAGCACCACTACTGAACCTCTCATTATACCAGTAAAACCTGGCCATTCTTAAAAAATCAATGCTAACATATCGTCATTACTGATTTGTTGTCAAAATACAGAAATGTTGTCATCATAGCAGTGATTACCTAATAGCAGGTCATTTTGACTGAGAAACATAGCAGATATGTCATACAATGGATTAACTTCCTGAAATCACAGAGGGTATACAACTGTATTGTGGTAAAATGGGTGGAGACATGCATTAATCATGAGTTTTGTTAAAGGATACAATCATTCCATGGGGAAACCTAAAAACTGAAGGTTTTTCCTGTTCAATAGTCCAGTTGAGGGAGTTATTGGGATGTAAGAAATATCAATGCTAACGTAGCTTACTTGTATTTACAAATCAACAATTGTTAGGCTCTAAGGGTGTGTCTACAGATTCAATGTGCGACTCCACCAAATATGCTTCTTCAAAAGGATTGTATTAGAAGAGGGCAGTGGCTCGGAGGATAAAACAGGTTGGAGAGGACCAACCGTTGCGTAGTTTGTACCTAACCCGTGTTGCTTTCTTTGCCACATTCTCTAACGCCTGCTAACGTGCTGTGGTTTCTGGGAGGAGTTGTCAGACTTGGAGTGTGCTTCTGGATGCGCACAGACATTGTTGTGTGAAGGATCCATGTGTGAAAGTTAGATTGTCCATCAGGAATTTTGACCATCATGATATTGAGATGACAATGTGAGCTCATCATTTGACTGGACTGGACTCATGAGTCATGTGTGCTTTTTTGGGGGTGTTGGCATTGTCTATGACAATGACATCATCAGCCAAACCTACCCTAGACAATTTGAATCGTCATAGCATTTAAAAGACAAATTATTTTGCATCGCTGATGTCATTATCATCTGTTGTGGTTACATTAAGATCTGTTCTATGTTTAGTTCTGTTTTTAAGTGCAGTGAGTCAGCATCGAATTCATTTTGGTTCTTCTGCACACACACAGTGTCCTATTAAATAGTGCCTTCCCTTTGTTTACCCATATGTTTACCCATAATGCTCTTTATTGCTGAGCAAGCGTAGTGTTTACCTGACTGAAAGCCACGTATCTAGGTGGTTTCTTGCACGCAACGTTTAGCTCTACACCCATGCTCATTCAAAACTGTACTCACACAATAGTTCTCTTATGGGTTTCCACCTTTTTTTTGTTGTATTGTTGTTAAATGGGTTGGGTTATTAGGTTATCAGCCCAGTTTTTCCAAATGTGCTCTGCTATGCTTTGACGAGTTTTGTCCATCTGATAAGAATAAGTGTTTTTTTGTGTTGTTGCTCATTTATCTTTATTTAGTGGCACAGGGAAAGAACACTGAGGCTGCATTTACACTGCAGGTCTTGATGCCCAATTCTGATTTGTTGCTTACATTTCATTTTAAAAGTGACTCTTATCCGATATATGCATTTGAACTATACAGTACACTTGGCGAAACGACTAAAGGTAGACGTGGAGACCCGGAAAAGCTTAAAAGCAAAAAACGGCACGATTTGCAATGGACGCAGATGAAATGATTAAAAAAGTTTTTGCTTTGCACACCATCTTTAAAGGTCAGTAAAACACGGGGTTGAGCCTTCGTCCTCCATTCTGCCATTGAAAAAAGAGTCATGTGATCTTGGTTGGTGTCCACCTGAGTTGATGTCATTCGCCACGGTCGGTTTTTTATTATTTTTTATTACGCACAACTCGCATTGTCTGGGGAATATCCGATCTGTACGTTTACATGGCAGATGCACACATCCGATTCATATCAGGTTTATTTCCACATATGAGTGAGGCCTGTGCATGTGCTTTTTTCCTCCTTACACATTCATATCCGATCTGTGCCACATGGGAGGACAAAATTGGAATTGGGTGACACTTGAACCATATAAATGTAGCCTGAGTGGTGATGTACACTAAAGACATTATTTGTGAGCAAATTTTTGACAGCACAATGGCTCTAACTTTTGCTTCAAAACTCCCTGACAGTCCAGTGAGCCCTTTTTTCATATACGATGTGGTAGAAGTGGCAGCCTAGTGGTTAGCGCATATGCTCTGATATGTGCTGCTGTTCTGGTTGAGAGTTTGTGTCCGGCTCGTTTCATTTTCTTATTCATTTCTCGTTTGCCATCATTTTCTGTCCTCCTTCTTGCCTATCAGGGTCAAATAAAAACATACTTACAACAACATAATTTATTATAATAATTAATATAATAATAATAATTATGAAAATAGTATTGTTGTTATTATAATTATATAACGATAATAATATTTTGCATTGTAATTATAATAAGTATAATTATATATTTTGATTTATTGTTTGATGATTACATCCAATAAATTGAACTTTATAAAGACTGCGTAATATTATTTAAAATGATTTTATTAATATTAATAATGATATTTAAATGATAGAACAATTTATTGGATTTAATTAAGCATTAGCAACATGAATAATTATTATTATTATTATTTTATATTATTATTATTATTTATTCCTTAACAAATATATCCAATACATTAAAGAACTTTAAAAAATAAGAAATAAGTGATCTTTGAAAATCTTTTTAAAAGGTTCCTCTGACCTGCCATGACAACCATGGAGCATGTTTTCTGTGAGTCAAGTAGGTCAAGTAGGACAATGTGACAATCATAAGATATGTTTAATGTAGAGTTATGTGGAATTGGATTTTGGACCAATGAGATTTCACAGTGGGTAGGGTTATTTGGTGCAACATTCTATAAAAAGAAATTTAGTGACGAAATGTCACTGTCACTAATCACTTGCCGAGGTCACTGAGGAACGAAAAACTTACATGGAAGAGCTTGAATCACATGAATAACGCTAATGTTTGACTGTATCATCTCTGGTTCTTTGTATTTCATCATCAACAATCCACCCTTTTTCAGTACATAACCTTAAACCTGCTGAGCTTGTTAGAAGACTTTAAGAAACATCGAAGCAGTAAATCTACATGCTGGGTGCTCTTTTTATTTCTCTTCCACCTAGAAGGTTTGTGGACATAGAAAATGTACAGGCCAAAAGAAAAGCAATCCATGAGCTGTCACCATTTTACCCTTGAACAACTGTCACTGTAATAAATAAATGGCACATCTGTGTTTAAAGGTTAATTTAAAGGTTCAGAGGACCACATACAATAAATGGCTAGAAGTGGTTGCTGTGGGTGGTGGTTTGGTGGTTAATACTTAATAGTCTTATCTGGTATAAAAAAGCCCTTGTTCAAGATGCAATCTGTGAACCGGTAGAGTTACTGAACTACTTAGTCCTTAGATCAGTTAGGATTGTTATTGCTTCAGAGTTTCTCGTATTGCATCTGATTAGAAATGCACCTTGCAGTTTGCATTTGGTACTTTTTTTGCTCGCATTTGAAATAATGCACACATATTTAAGTGTGTTTGCCAATGTGTTCACTGGCTTTCTCTTCTATCTGATTCAGCATGACCTTATGCTTTGCACTAGACTCATGATTTGCATGTGATTCTGGCTGTTTTTAATATAGCGAGGTCAGGGCAAGTAATGAGATCAATAGTGCAGTGCACTCATGCATGCAGCAATAATGCTTTTTGTAATAGTGTAAATGCATTTCCTTTTCTCAGACACTCAACCGTCCTCTTTCTGTCTCTCTTCTCGTTGCAGTCTCAGCACGTCACACCCACCTCCACATCTCAGGTCTCCTCAGCGAAACCTGCACAATATGAGGTAAAAACCTTCATCCTTTTCAGTCATTTACTCCATTTATTCACATGAGCTCATTCGTTTGTCTGATTGAAAGACTACATTCCACTCTTCAACTTTATCGACCCCATGGCATCTACACTAGATGTTGGTAGTCGTCTGCTTTTTACTAGGGACGCTACTGTGTTTTTAAGAGGTGTGGTGTCATTGCTGAATAGAGAGTTGGGAAAAGTCTTCCACCTATTCAGATAAACTTTATTGCTATTCCTTTCAGTAGAGATGTAGACACTATGTGTAACAAGGTTTTTTCTGATGATCAAATGAAGGCTACTTGCCAGTACAAAAGTCGCCACCACAATATTAGGGTGTTGTGGGTGGCTGTTGCTAGGTTGCTATGTGCTTGATTTAACAAGCACCAACATTAAAAGCTACAAGAGGGCCTAAAATAATCACTGCATAGAGATACAAATATAAAGAAGTCTTTATACACTCCTTTGTTTGTATGGACTCTTAGAGAACTTTGTTGGTTGATTTTGAGACTTTTTGGTTGTTTTAAATGTTTTAATTTTTCTCGTGGTTATTTGTTGCCTTTGGACAGAGCATGTTTCTGCTTGAGATATTTGGTTGTGGCAGGACATGGTGTCTCCCATGAGAGGCGTCTGCCCTATGACTCACTTTCCTGAATCTAGTTACAGCTGGAGTTTGCTTTTGATTTACTTGGAGCTGCTGTTTGTGTGATTGTTATAGGTATCACTCATTCCCAAAATCCCCTGGTTAAAGCAGCACTAAGTAGGAATTCCGTTTTTGTCAAACAGCGACCCCTAGAGTCGCTGTGGAGTACTTGTACTGTCGTGAATAGCACTCGCGCAGAGATGGCTCGCACTCACGGCCGGATCCCCTCCCCCTGTACACCGGTACCTGTTCAGTAGGATGGACACTGTAACGAGTGGAAATAAGGTATGGCCCCTTTAAGAGCTGCGCGCGCCCTACCACATGTATACGGCGCCGGGTTATTTCTGTTTGATGCTCATTTTATCAGAATTTTATCAGATCTGTTTTTTGCCGTAAAGCAATTCGTTACCTTGCAAGACCTGATATCACACGATACTTCCTAACACTGGTTTTGCGGCTCACAGGCACCAGGGGGGTGCGAGACGACCACCATTCAACACGAAATCAGTAATATAAACATTACAATGACTCCAAAGCTGTTCGGTTAAGGTAAAAAAGTGACTTAGTTCACCTTTAACAAGTAACTCCTTAGACTGAAAACAAAGATTACTAGCAAGACTAGTTGATACCTAGTGCACACTATCCTGGCACAATTGAGCTGTGGTGCTCATGCAGGAGGCATAGGTTTGAATCTGTCCTGATCCGATTGCCTCTCTCCCGAATAGTTTCCATCAATAAAACGTGGAATAACCCAAAAGTAATGTGTGTGTGACACCCTAAACATGATATATAATTGACATTCTCACATCTGCATTGTAGAAAGGACCTATGCAATCCTCTACTGCATCTGCAGCTGTTAAACCCGGCACCAGCCCTGCAACCCCAGCAGCTTCTTCAGTAGCTCCATCTACTGTGGGAGCTGCAGGCGTTGGAGGCTCTACCACCACTCAGAAAGCACCTTCTCAAGTCACGCCACAGGTAGACACCATCCGTCTACTGGATTTATCGGACTTTGGGCTTGTTCACACCTTCCTCACGCTGGTTTTCATCAGGGTCATACTGCTTAAACTGTCTTTTTCTTAAACACCTAATCCTTTCTATCCTAATCAATCTTACTTTCATTCTTGGTGAATATTTTTGGTGAATACTAACACACTTTTGGGTTGTTTCTGGAAAACATCTTCATTATCTTAATCTGGAAAACATCTGTAGGACCATTTGTTGCACAAACGTCTCTGTCTTATGGAGATGGCGCTTTTTGTCTGTTCTTTGGGTCTCAACCCTGACCACATTCATGACTTTCTGGGTGCCGCCTCGAGAAACATCATCTCATCTTCATATGATATATAATGAGTATCTCACTCCGGCATGCTGATTGCAGGCCACAGTCTCTAAACCCACACCTGCGTCTTCTGCTAAAGTCCCAACTGCGAGCTCCGCTACTGTACCTGCTGGAACGACAGGTGGAACAGGAGTGAAGCCCACAGACCCTGTGAAAGACAAGGCCCAGGTACACCAATGCACATCATTCATTGGAGTCTCCTTATTCTTCTGCAAACATGACTTCATCAACATGCCGCTTATGATGTCCTCTTCTGCACACCATTTATTGCTGCTTTTACTTCAAGAATTCTCTTGGATGGAGAGTCCCACCTTAGCAATGTCTCATTTTCCTATCACCATGGTGTTCATCTTTCACACAAATGTATAAGGAGCTGCATTATTGCACTCCTGAAAAGATATGACAAGAGGTCTTATCTTTCTGTTCTTTCCCTCTCTGGATTTGCTTTGGCTGCACTTTATTTCATTTATTATCATCATGTGAAAGTTGGTATTAATACTCGAATATGTGGCGCGTATTCTTCTGATAGAGTACAACCGTTCCTTCATCCAAACCGGGACCTGCTAAAGTGGATCCGGCTGTTGGGAAGCCCTCAGCCACTGCTGGTGCCCAAAAGCAAACAAGCGCCCAAAAGGTACTTATGGAATGACAGAGGATCATCGGGAGTGCATCAAAATTACGTCAACCTTCTTATTTTAACCTCCAATTATCAATGTTAAAAGTGCAATTTGTGCTGTCCAATTCACAGTGCAATTTGTGCTTGAAAAGAAGCAACCAGCATTTCTTAATGGAATTTAAAAGGGCTATTAGGGGAATACTTTTTTTTTTCTTCAAATGATTAACGACTACCACCTAAGTTCAGGCGTAAACTCATGTTAATGCATTTCAAAGCATCACAGAACATAACTTCGGGATGTAAAGCCACTCAGGCTGGTCGAAATAGAACACGTGTACACTACCATTTAAAAGTTTGAGGTCAGTAAGATATTTTAATTGTTTTTGAAAGAAGTCTCTTATGCTCACCGACGCTGCTTTTATTTGATCAAAAATCTCGTAAAATCATTAATATTGTGGAATATTATTCAAATTTTAAATGAGTCCTTTAAGAAAAATTAGAAATCATATTAGATATCATTCGAATATGCTGATTTTCTGCTCAAGAAACATTTATTTTCATCAATGGTGAAAGTTGTGCTGCTTAATATTTTAGTGAAAACTATGACGTTTTTCGGGATTCTTTAGTGAATAGAACGTTTATTTATTTGAAATAGAAATCTGTCTTTACTGTCACTTTAAACTTCAAGTTAATGTGACCTTGCTAAAAAACAAATATTTCTTATTTAAAAAAATCTTACTGACCCCAAATCTTTTAACAGTAACTATATAATGGTAAGACATCTATGAAAATGATTCACAGTGTTTCTATTTTAAGCAAAAAAAAAATTTCACGATTTTTGCCTAAAATTGGTATGAGTAGAGAAAGTGTATATTTTAGCTTCTGTGACTGGTCACCATTTCTTTTACTGTAGGTTTTGTAAAAATTGTAATAACTACTTTTTTCCTCATTTTAAATGATCATATATATATATATATATACCATGATGGAATATACCAAATCACTCCACAGCATGTCAATTTAATACAACAGTTTGGTGAGAAGCATATGGTCATCTTACATGGATGTCTTGGCAATTTATTGAATAATACCTTGAATGTTTCAGTACTGTAGCCAGTCCCGGTACGTCAGTATGAAGAATAATAGAGTAATTTTGCTTTGTGCTGCAGGTGCAAGTGGAAGTGGGTCCTCCAGGAACTAAAGTCAGTACGGAGGTTAGTATACATGCTAAGTTTATCTTTGTGGCTTTTTGTTGTGTGGTCATCAGAGATTCTGTGTCTTAAAAAACATTCTAATGTGTTTATTTTTTATGTGTGTGTAGGATGTAGATCCGTTTGAGGCCCTGTCTGGCACTTTACCATCATCAAAACCTCTTGCTCCTAAAGTCCCAACATACACTGGACCAGAGGTCAAAGAGGTAATGCATGGGTGTAGATATTTGACTGATGTCTATTTAAAACTTAAAGGGAAAGTTCACCCAAAAATGATATTCTGTCATCAGTTACTCACTCTCATGTCGTTCCAAACCCATAAGACCTTTGTTCATCTTCGGAACACAAATGAAAATATTTAATATTTCCTGGCCCTCCAGTGAAAGTCTATTCACCCAAAATTCTTACTCTAGAAATCGTTCATAAAGAGAATGTGAAAGAAATGCATATAAACCAAGCTTCTGAAAGGACACGATCACTTTATATGATGAACAGATTTAATTTAGGCTTTAATTTCAGCGAACATAAACTGAAGTTTAACCAAATTTGAAGAAGGAACCTCATTGGTTCTCGCACGTCAAGCAAGCATGTTTGAGCTTCTGTTTACCAAATTTGAATGTTGTATGTATGTACATTCGCTGATCAATGTTTATATGTAAATAAAAGCCTACATTAAATCTGTTCATCATATAAAGCGATCATGTCTCTTCAGAAGACTTGGATTAAACCGCTTGATTCATATGGATTTCTTTCACAATCTCTTTATGAATGTTTTCAAGCGTCAGAGTTTTGGGTGAATAGACATAATAATAATAATTCATTACATTTATATAGCGCTTTTCTAGGCACTCAAAGCGCTTCACATGGAAGGGGGAATCTCCTCAACCACCACCAATGTGAAGCATCCACTTGGGTGATGCGACGGCAGCCATAGTGCGCCAGAACGCCCACCACACACCAGCTTACTGGTGGAGAGGAGACAGAGTGATGAAGCCAATCAGTGTATATATATATCAATCAGTGTATACACATGTACTGGAGGGCCAGAAATCACTAAGATTTAATTTAAAATACTTTAATTTGTGTTCCGAAGATTAAAACGAAAGTCTTATGGGTTTTGAAAGACATTAGGGTGAGTAGTTGATGACAGAATTTTCATTTTGGCGGGAATTAACCCTTTAAGCAATTATCTTGGCATGTGTTTGTGAATGCTGATTGTTTAACAACCTGTATTTTGCTATATTTGTGTTCTCTAATGGATTGTGTTGAATGTCTCAGCTAAATGTAAAACCAGAGACTGGTGTTTTGTGTGGTGTGAGAGATGACACACTTCCGCCCGGATACAGAAAGGAAGACATGGTCAGTTGGCGATCATGAAATATTCTTAACCTCTTTCTTTTTCTATTTCTTTCATCTTAATCCTGGAACACACCAAGCCGACGGTCGGTCGTCGGGCAGTTTTTGTGCGTCGGCCGAGTGTGTTCCGCACCGTCCGCTGAAATTGGTCCGCGGTCCGCCTTTTTTTCAGCCGATTCGACATGTTGAATCAGCGTCAGGTAGTCGGTGAAAGAGGGAACTCTGATTGGCTGTTCAGCTTAGTGAACGAGTCAGTGCACGAGAATAATAGCAGAACAGAGAGCAAAGAAGTCAAAACGGTACAGATAGAAGGCTGTTCTAATGTTACGTCATCTTACCTGAGTGTTCCTTGGCGAATATTTCAATATTAAAATGAGCGGAGTGGTATAAAAAAAAGTGTTTAGCAGGATTGATATTCAAAACGGTAAGCACGCACTGCTTTGTTTATGGTATGTGTATCTGCAGCCGGCAGCGTCGGTTTCCCTTTTTGAATGACGGATATAGATGAATATATCTGCAGAAATAGACAGTTGCCTTATTTACACGCAGGCGCAGAACGCGCATTCTAGCTAACAGTCGGCCGTAGTTCTCTCGGTGTGCAGCTTTTTACCCCGACGTGAGGCGACAACACAGTCGGCTTTCATCAGCGCTAGTTCGTCGGCGTCGGCTTGGTGTGTTCCAGGCTTTATCCGTAGTTAAAGGAATAGTTCAACCAAAAATTAAATGTTATTTCAAACCTGGATTATTTTCTTTCTTCCATTGAACACAAAATGAGGATTTGAAAAAAAAAGAAAAAAAGGTTGGGCATTCTTTTTCATACACTTATAATTAATGGGGACTGAGGCTTTCAAGCTTCAAAATGGACAGAAAGGCACCAAAAAGAATAATAAAAGAAGCCTAAAGAAGGACTTGTGTGCTATATTCCACGTCTTCTTAAAGGGGTAGTTCACTCAATTACTCATTCTCATGTTGTTCCAAACCCATATGACTTTTGTTCATCTTTGGAAGAGATTTCTGTCCCTCCATTGAAAGTCTATTCACCTGAAACTCTGTCAGTACAAAACATTTATAAAGAGATTGTTAAATAAATCCATATGAATCGGGCAATTTAATCCAAGTCTTCTGAATAGACTTGATCGCTTTATCTGATGAACAGATTTAATTTAGGCTTTTATTCCCAAAAACATTGATCAAATAAACATTGACACGAATTGACACGATCTCATTGGTTCTTGCGGATGCTCGATTGTTTACCGAAGATGAACGAAAGTCTTATGGATTTGGAACATGAGGGTGAGTGAATGATGACAGAATTTTCCCCTTTGGGTGAACTATCTTTTTAAGCCATTCGATTAGTTTTTTGTTTTTTTAGTGAACTGTTCCTTTAAACAACAGTTCCTTCCTTCTCTCTCCACATTCCTGATTTGTTTCCCTTTTTATTATGCCTCCATCAGTCTTGCTTTTTTATTATATCTCACTGATGTTTAGAGTATGTTTCTGACTGTTTCCAAAGCATTTGTTTTTAGAGGAGCATGTTTTTCAATCTTTTTTCAGTGGGTTTTGAGTCTAACCGGTGTTAATTTATATATTCAGGAAAAGAAAAAACCTACTGGAGTTCCTGAGAAGCCTAAAGATGTTCCCAAGGTAGGAGAGTTGCGGAGGCCTTTTACTGTCAGTGTGTTGTTTTTAGCTCTTTTCTTATCCTGTGACTTCCATTCTTCTAGTTCACACAAGTTTGAAGTCTCCAGTGTTTACTTGCCTACTTCCCAGCACAACATTATTGCTATTGCTGTCACACTGCTATTGTCCTATTCTTTCTGTCTTTGGGCCTAATGCACAAAAAATGCGCAAGTTGGCTTTTATTGAGAAAATTAGCGTAAACATGTTTTGTGTTCTTACCCTCAATATAATGCTGATTAATTTGGAAAATTAAAAATGACAGTAAGTAATTGGCATAATACACACCCAAACCATGTCCATATAGGGGCTTATACATGTGTATGTATGTTTTTTTTTTTAAATAAGTTTTTTTATTTTTTTTATTTTATTAATCCTTTTATTCAGCAGGAAAAGAATGCATGAAATCAATCAAAAGTGACAGTAAAAACATTTACATTTGAACAAAAACGTTCTATTTCAAATAAATGTTATTTTAAAATTTCTATTATCAAAGAATCGTTATATATATATATATACACATTTTGAATAATTTTAAAGAACTTATTCAACTTATTTAATAATCATGATTTCTGCATGAAAACATATGCACGCAATATGCACGATTACTGAATGAGGCCCATGTTACACCCAGTCATATTGTCTTTGACATGTCTCACTGTTATTGTCCCTGTCCCACTGATATTCACCTATGTCTTACCATTATTCTTCCTTTCTCACTGACAAACTCTCTGTCTCTTTCTCTGTCTGTTTTTTAGTGCCAAATATTTAGCTTGATCTAAGGGTGTTGGCTAGCAAACAGAACCAAGCACAAATTCATCACTCACTCACTTTAAGCACATTGTTGCTCAATCAGCTATAACACACACACACACAACCTGTGCTGCATGCATTTCACTTATTATACCATATGACGGAATGATAATGATATATGCCATTATTATGCCAAGTTGTTTTGTTAATGACCATCTCCCACCCTTCAGTTCTCCGAGTATTATTATCACGTCTCACCGTTTTGTACAGCTTTTCCCTCAGATTATTCAGCTGCTGGTTGTTTTATAAGTTAGTGTGTGAAAGCACGCAGTGTGTTGTTAATGTCGAGCTCTTGGTATGCAGAGGGTGTGCCTGTACTTTTCCTGCCACGACACATGCTGTTTGTTATTCCCCCGAAATTTTGCTTGGGGCTCCCTCTAATGGTCTTTTCTAGAATTACATTATTTAAAAAAATTTTTTTGACATTTTGTGTACAATCCTGTTTTTTATTTTTTTATTTACTTGTGCTTGTTTGATGTTTTCTGAAAGCCTATGAGCACAGACGATGCGCTGGAGTCCCTCTCGGTTGGGTTTGTGTCTTCAGCTCCAACTATTCCTAAGAAGACAGATGTGGTGAGTAACCTATTATTTTGACAACAGTTTGTTGTCTTTTTCCTTAAGTCAGGGGTTTTCAAAGTTTTTCATGCCATATATAGACCCTCAGTTACGATAATCCCCTTGTGAGGGAATTTTATTTCAATTAAAATATAAAGCCAGTTTTATTTTTATGGTCATAAAAATGAAAAAATGAAGAAAAAAAATATTATATGGAAAATATTAGCAATTTTTTATTTGTAACTTATTATTAACTATAATATTTTTTTAATAGCTTAATATGTTGAATAATAATATTTTTTATTATTATTGTTAGTATTTAGTTATTATTAAAACAATTGTTAAAATAAATATTAAGTTAAAATATATCTTCCGCTATTATATTTTATTTGATAATTTTCTGTGTACCCTAGCATCATTTTGAATATAGTTGCGTATGGAAAATATTTGCTATTTTTTTATTTTTAACATAGTATTAATTTTAATTATTTTCATAACTAAAAAAAAAACATAATAATAATGATTATTTAGAATATTAGCCTATTATATTATTAAATCATATTATTAAATCCCTGGCTTAAGTCATATCAGATCATTCGGTTGTACATGCATAGTATTGACTCAATGCAAATGTTTTAATATTTGTTTGATATTTACTGGCTGTTTTTCAGAAAACTGAAACAATAGGAGCAGTCGATGTGCGTTCGGCTGGCATCTCCAACTTTGCTCCCCCTCCACCCTATCAGCCGGTAACAACATTTAAAACACTACGACAATAACATTAGCATGTCTAAAAGCTAAGCATGTCTCTGTCTCCTTGAGCAGAAACAACAGGCGACGTCTCAACCTGCTACTGTAACCAAGTCCCCTGCTCCACCGGCTGACAAGAAAGCCAAACTAGATATCCACACACAACCCACTAAACCAAAGACAGATGAGGTAAAGTCAAGTTCAACCCAATACTTTAATGAAACAATGGTCATTACATATTTTAAGAATTCAATATTTCAGATAAGTCAATGTATTTTTATTCAAAATAAATTGAAATTGTGTCCATTTTCTATTCTAGTCAGACGGCTCCATGTCGCTGGACGCTCTCAGCGCTTTGGGCGACACACTGGGCGCTCCAGAACCACCCAAAAAATTGCCTGAACTCAAACCTGGGCAGATAGTTGATGTAACATTTCAAAATTCTTATTAGATTATTTAATTTTTTTTTAATCAAAACATTAGTATAGAGTATTTTTGTTTTGTTATTATTTTATTAATATTTTGTATTAGCTTTTATTATATTAATAGTTTTTGTTTTCCCTCTTAATTTTAGATACATTTTTAGTAATTTCATTGTGCTTTTGTCATTTTATTAGTTTTTGTTTTATTTTTTAAATTCGTTATTTATTTCCAGTTAATTTTTTTTTTTCAACTTACATTTATTTTAGTTTATTTTAAAAAAGTAGATTATTTTACTTTATCAAGGCACCATTTAGTTTAAGTTCTTCAACTAATATCTATATTTTTTCAATGAACAGAAATGTTTTTAATAGTTTTAGTAAATGATAGTAACCCTGTATAGAAGTACTCGTTTTCTATATGTTTTTAATCATCTGCATATTTTTGAGCAGGAGAAGAAACTGACATCCGAGAAGGGTGTTCGTGTCGGGGAGAGAGACGACACACTCCCACCAGATTACAGATTCTCAGAGGAAGATCTCAAGAAATATCCCCTTCCTAAAAAAGAGGTCAGACATTGAATACAATCTACAAAAGATTTCGAATCTGTGTCTTCTCTTATTCTTATTTAATACGTTACATTATTGAGAATGTTTACTTATATGAGGAGAAATGGGTTGTATTAATGGTGTGTGTTGTGATTGGCTATTGTCACTGGATGCTGTGTTCTGATTGGTGGATCTCTCTCTTAGCCCTCACTGAACACAGATGACGCACTGGACATGCTTTCTGAAGGTTTCACAGCCCCTGCGGCAGCACCTGTTGTTAAGGCCTCTGTTCCTCCTGCACAGGTAATCATTTATAATCATTTAAGTACAATATTACATTATGTAATGCTTATAATGTACATTTGAGTAGTTAAACATTATTAATTTGTTTAATCAGGAAAAGAAGAAACCTGATGCGGTTTCTGAGAAGACTAAAGATGTTCCTAAGGTAGGAAGGCTGTTTCTGTGCTGTGTTGTTTTAAGCCATTTGTAGTCACATGCAGTGTTGGGGTAATGCATTACAAGTAACGCAAGTTACATAATCAGATTACCTTTTTTCAAGTAATTAGTAAAGTAATTACGCAAAGTAACGCAAGTCAGAATGGCAGCCCAGCTGAAAGGTTTGAGCTGCGCTCTCTACTGTACAGGAGTGAATTTGCATTTCCTTCAGCCCGAGGCTTATTCGTTTCACTTTTGGTGTGAAAGGGGCTTTACATTTGCCAAAAATAGAAATTTTTGTTATTAAAAAACAATAATGAGTAACGCAATATCCCCAACACTGCTCACATGTTGTTGAAGCCTCCATTCCACATTTTGTTGCTCCTCAAAAAAAGCTGATATTTTATAAAAACCATAACATTAGTTAATATTCAGTTGTTTAACCACTGGTCATTTTTCGAATCAGGAAACAAAGAAGCCTGCTCCGGTTCCTGAGAAGACTAAAGACGTTCCCAAGGTAGGAAAGCTTTCTGTGCTGTTGCTTTTAGCCTTTTGTTCTTCCTTGTGTGTGATTATTTTTTGTTAACATAACAGTAACAAATATTATTGCATTATATAGGTTTAAGCATTCAAATAGTTCTTTAACCACTGGTATTTTTCGAATCAGGAAACAAAGAAGCCTGCTGGGGTTCCCGAGAAGACTAAAGACATTCCCAAGGTAGGCCTTTTACTGTCAGTGTTTATTTTGATATGATGATGGCTGACGGTACATTATACCACTTTTTACACTGCTACTTGCCCAAAAAATTGACATGATATATTGATTTGATTTAAAATTGCTTTATTATTGGATAAGGAAGTGACCGAGGATTGAGACGAAAGACATGAAACTAGCACAGCTATGTATGAAATTGGCAGAATTGAGAAAATGGTCAATAGTACAGGACAGCGTACATAATAGAAATACATTTGACGACAGGATGCTGCGATTAAGCAGGTTTTCCAGAAACTTGCTTAGTAATGATGCAAATAAGTTAGTGTTAGTGTTTGTCTTGCACATATTAACCTGCTTGCCTTCTGTGACTCTTTCTAATCTTCTTTTAGCATAAAGTGGATGAATTATCAGCACTGGATGCTCTGGCTGGTGACTTCGTGGCTCCTCCAAAGTCTGCTTCTAAGGTACCATCAAATGCCTATAGCTTTGTTTCTACCCAAAGTTGTGAATTTAACTTTAAACATTTAAAACATTTGCGAGTAAAGCAGCGTTTCCATCCCATGTGTTCAAGAGAACAAAATCGTCACTTCCTGGGAAGTTGCCTCAAAATATCTGTTATAAAAATGAAAGTCGCTGCAATCGGGTAACGCAATCGTGTAAGTTCTGGGTGGTCGTTGTACCCAACCTTTTTAATGACAAAAAGGCTCAGTGACCAAACCAACATTTGAGATGCTGTGCAATGAAACTGGTCCACTGGTTAGTCCAGTTATCCAATCACATCCTTTTTATGAAGGATAGTCACTTGAGCCTTCAGTTGCGCATCGAGGGATTTATTCGGTAAATGTCGTCTTTAATATTGGATAAAAGAAATGATTCGCCTCAATTGAGCACATACGTTTATTTTATGCATATTTCTTGAATTTATCCACATCTTGGCATTTCCATCCAGATTTTTTTAGCATAAAAATAGGTGGATGGAAACGTGCTCGATTCAAATCTCAACTATTATTGCACTCTGTCCAGTATTTTCACTATTTGTTTTCACTCAAAAGATAATAAATATTTTTTTGTTCCCTATTCTATTCTATTCTATTCTATTCTTCTATTCTTGTATGCCATAGGTTTCTTCGGCTGCTCCTATCCCTCCAGGCCCTCCGCAAAGACCACAGATAGACGAGGTATTGCAAATCCTGAAAAAAAAAAAAAAAAAAAGATGTATTCACATAAGTCACGGAAATATATGAAATTGGTCATATCAGTAGTATATATTGTTTTAATATTAGAACTGATATTCAGCTTTCTGGACCCTGTAGATTTTTATATGGCTCTCTCTATTTCTCTCCTGCTCTCTCATATGCGTAGGACCCTTTCAGTGCTCTGGGTGACACACTGGGTGCACCAGAACCACCAAAAAAACTACCTGAACTCAAACCTGGGGACATTGTTCATGTAAGAGTAATGACTCTTCTTTGATTTTTACTTGTCTTTTACAAATTTAGATATGGCATAGATATCATTGCAACATTTCTTGTTACTTTTTTAAAATAATTGAATGTTTTTTGAGCAGGAGAAGAAACTGACATCCGAGAAGGGTGTTCGTGTCGGGGAGAGAGACGACACACTCCCACCAGATTACAGATTCTCCGAGGAAGAGCTCAAGAAATATCCTGCTCCTGCGAAAGAGGTAATATGCTGTCACAGTTATTAGCATTAAGTGACATTGATCTTATTGTTGTTATATGTGTTTTGTCTCATGGATGTGTGATGATTGGTCACCGTTCTTGTGATTTGATTGGTGGATGCTTTCTTCTGTCCCAGCCTTCTCTAGACACTACTGATGCTCTGGATATTCTGTCTGGTGATTTTACCACTCCCACTGTCCCATCTGCTGCCAAGACCCCTGTTTGTTCTTCCTCTAAGACTCCTGTTAAGGTGAGACTCGTGAACATCCACATACAGTAGGAAACAAACAACTGTGATGTATTTGATGTCTTAATTGTTTCTCCTACGTATTAATGATGTCTGGGGTTGGTAAGATTTTTAAAATCTTTTTGAAAGAAGTGCCTTGTGCTCACCAAGGCTGCATTTATTTGATCAAAAATACAGTAAAAGTAATATTGTGAAGTATTATTACAATTTAAAATAACTGTTTTATTCCTGTGTTGGCAAAGCTGAATTTTCAGCATCATTACTCCAGTCTTCAGTGTCACATGATCCTTCATAAATCATTCTAATATGGTGATTTACTGCTCAAAAAAACATTTTTATTATTATTATTAATGTTAAAAGCAGTTGTGCTGCTTAATATTTTTGTGGAAACCATAATACAACCGTGAATAGAACAGCATTTATTTGAAATGGTAAACTTTTGTAACCTTATAAATGTCTTTACTGTCACTTTTGATCAATTAAATGCATTCTTGCAGAATTAAAGTATCAATTTAAAAAAAGAAATCTAACTGACCCCAAACTTTTGAATGGTAGTGTACTGTATGTTTAATCTCAATAGCATCTCAATGTTGATTTAAACCTCTCTCATCTCTCTTCTCATTCTGTTCTTTAGCCTTCAGGTTCAGATTCAGATTTTGCTTTAGATGCTCTTGCTGGTGATTTTGTCGCTCCTTCTTCTGCATCTAAAGTTCAGTCTGCTGTCTCTGGCCCTCCACAAGCTGGCAGACAGGTACATTTCTAGTTTATCCATATTTTCACATATTATACATGTTCATACTTTCCTTTTATACTGATTTTCTCTTCTACTTTTTTGGTGCAGTTATCAGAAAGTACCTCATCAGCTTTGGATGCCCTCTCAGACACTCTGGGAGACATAAAAGCAGCCCCTGAGCCTGCCCCCGTCCCGCCTAAAGCCATCGTTAAGGTAACACACCTTTTAATAACTGTGTCTTTACAATTTCCATACACACAACTGTGCACCAAGCAGAATCAAGGCCGACTCACACCAAATCAGATGCGATTACATGACCAGCACTACTTATTTTTGTAATTGAAAAATGGCATCACCATAAAACTACAACAACCAATTGTGGGACATTTTGAATTTGGTATAGACATCATTTGGCTTTTTAAATGGGTCATATAATAAAAAAAAACCCTTACTTTTACTTGATTTTTTGAGAATAAGAGTTTGCTGCATTATGAAAACAAACCATAACAGCACCCCAACTTCCTCTTCAGTTCCAAGAAAAACATGTTTATTTGTTAAAGAGATCAATGCGAGATGATACACCAAACTTTGTGTTTCCTGGTATTGTGTTGTGCCTGCCGCTCTGCATATTCTTCCGTAGTATCCCAGTGTTCGGAAAAACTTGGCTGAAGATTATCTTACTGACCCCAGACTTTTGAACAATAGTGTATCTTTTCACAGGCTTCTTAAAGGCAAAATATGGTCATGTAAACTATATTATGACAGTACTGCTTTTTCTCTTCCCACCACAGGAAAAGGATATAAAGGAGGAGAAAGTGAGTAAACCAGGTGAGAGAGACGACACCCTTCCACCAGATCATAGGTTCAGAGAGGAAGGCCGCAAGGTGACTTTTGCTTCTCCATTATGTATCAAACTACAATACTTATGTATTAAAACTAAAGATGTGACAAATTTTCCACTTGTTCTTCAGTCTTCTCCACAGGCATTTACAGCAGCAAAGCCGAAAGACGTCAAACCAAAGCAGGTACTTTATGAATCACTGAGTGTATAGGATATATATATATATATATATATATACAGTTGTGGTCAGAATTAATGGCACCTCTGGTAAATATGATAAAAAATGGCTGTAAAAAATAAATCTGCATGGTTTATCCTTTTGATCTTACATTAAAAAAATTCGCAAAAATCTAACTTTTCATTGAAGTAAAAGAATTGAAAGTGGGGGGTAAATCACATTATGAAATAAATGTTTTTCTCCAAAACACGTTGGCCACAATTATTGGCACCCCTAGAATTTTTTTACGAGTAAAATATAGTATAAGTATATTCCCATAAATATTTTTTTAGCAAACCAGGGTGACTAGGAACATGAAATTGTCTAGCTATGACTGTGTGTGTGTGTGTGTGTGTGTGTGTGTGTGTGTGTGTGTGTGTGTGTGTGTATATATTATATATATATATATATATATATATATATAAAATTGAGAATCACTTTTCTTTTTTTTCTTTTTTAAGAGAGATCATGATTTTGCCACAATTCTGAATAAACAACTAAATACAATGTGTAATTTACTAGAGGTTGACAAAATGTTAATTTCTGCAGTCCATTTAAAAATATTTAATTAATTTAAATGAATTGTTTTTTTTAAAGGCTTCCAAGAATGATTTAATGACTCGCTCATAAAGACTTCATATAAAATAAATAAATTGTTTAAGTCACTTGTTGCCATCTACTGGCGTAACGATGTAATTGATACAATATTTTTTGAAGAGTTATGTTCCTTTCAAAAGGTGATTTGCTCTATTTTGATCCGAAATTTAAACTTATGTGATCATTTGAACTATTGCAAGACAGAAATAATGATACTGTGTGGTTGAAAAGACTTTTTTTGTTTGTGAAGCTGTTTCATGAGCTGCTTTCTCTGGCTCAGTGGCAGCGCCAATGCAGATTTGAATGTTCCACTGTGATCGTACTTTCCAAAGGTTTAATAGATGTAGCCGAATCGTTGTCATTTAGGAATAAGATCACATGGGTGTTTAATTTGAGATTGCGATCTTTTAACGATTAACCATGCAGCTCTAATACTGTGTACAACTTCAATAAACAATAACTCAAATTCTACAAAATATTTCTGTTTCATTTGACTGTTTGTCTGTCCATCTCTCAGACATTAATCGATGACACAACGGCCCTTGACATGCTGTCTAGTGATTTTTCTGCAGTACCGACCATTAAGCCCTCTGCACCTGATGCCCGACACTTCACCCCTGAACCAACACCGCCAACCCATAAGGTACCACAAACAAACCTGCATAAATAACTAAATTATCCCTCTAAATTCTTTACACAAGTACTTTGTTTGATTATTTCTATTGTCTTTGTTTACAGGCATCAGGTCCAGTTTTGGATCAGATGGCAGGCAAATTGATTCCCAACCTGACCGACCCCAAAGCCAAAGACAGCAAACCAAAGGTAAGAATCAGGCCACAGGTCAATTGTCATTACGGACACCTTTTACAGACTGTGATGATGCATTTCCACATTTTTTTTTGGTCACATTTTCATTTTTCATGAATATACATTATATGAATATACATACAGTGCTATACATTGTGTCACATTATCTTGGCAGTAAATTACAAAATCCAAATGAACGCAACTGCGAGGGTGTTTCTGAGGCAGTGATGGCAAATTTGACATCTTCCTCTTTTCTGACTTCTGTAATCAGTCTCTTTATTTTTCCCTCTTTTTGGAAAAGTCATGGATATTTTATTTTGCTATTGAAGCACATGGGAATTCAAATATTATAGTTGCTGTCATCTCTTATTCACCACTATAGAAGTTTATCTAACTATGACGACTTCCGCTTCTGACAACCCCAGAAATGTGAAAAGGGTCCTTTATCCGGATGCTGATCATCACTTTTTTTCACATATTCTGGACATTCTGTTCTTTCAGAAAAATAATGTTTTATTTTTTCCCCCAATCTACCTCTGTAAAAAATATGTACCGGGAGAAAGTTAAAAGTAGGAAAAATCTGTGCATGCTATTACTGTATGAGCACCTGGCTTCCCCCCAGACCCTTTATACTGGTTCAAGCCAGTTTATATCAGGGGTCTCTATCTGATTACAGGCAAAGGGGGTCAAACCAAAGTCTAAGCCAAAGGTAGGTTCTATATGAATTGAAATGCATGAATTTAGTTCTTATACAGTAGCTTTGGCTCATGAACGGCAGCATGGAGAAACACAAACTAAAAATCCCATTCGGTCACCATTCCATCAGCTGAAACGCAATCACATGGCTGTATATTTGCATATTCATCCAAAAATCTGGCAGGATTGCATTGTTTGAACACTGTGGCTGGTCTGATACTCAAAGGCTTTGCGTTCACAAACTGCTGAGGATCACCTGATTCTTTCATTTACGCACATGTAGTGCTGTTATGCCACAAAGCAACCTTCAATTTCGCCAACCATATGCTTGAAATGTTTGCATGCTTGGTTTGCATACTTAAAATTCTGATTTTGTGTCCCAGAAACAGTCAGTAGAAGATTCTTCAGCCATGAATCAGCTGCCCGGTAAAGTGAGCTCAGATGTGGTGCCTTCATCTTCCACGAAGGGCGGAAACAGATAGATTGCAGGTCAGTGTCTTTACAAACCTCTTTGATTTTAATTTAGGTTTTTATATTATATTTACACTACTGTTCAAAGGGTACTTATTGAAGCTTGTTTCCGCCACAGAATGAAAAATAAAAAAGGTAATTGCGACTTTTCATCTCACAATTCGGACTTTTTTTCTCAGAATTGCGTGATATAAAATCGCAATTGCGTTTTATAAGGTCAGAATTGCGAGATATAAAGTCAGAATTGCGAGATATACAGTCAGAATTTATTGATATAAAGTCGCAATTGCAGGTTATAAAGTCAGAATTGCGTGAAATAAAGTCGCAATTGCGTGTTATAAAGTCAGAATTGCGAGATATAAAGTCAGAATTGATTGATATAAAGTCAGAATTGATTGATATAAAGACGCAATTGCGTGTTATAAATTCAGAATTGCGTGATATAAAGTCAAAATTGCGTGTTATAAAGTCAGAATTGCGTGATATAAAGTCGAAATTGCGAGATATAAAGTCAGAATTGATTGATATAAAGTCAGAATTGCGTGATATAAAGTCAGAATTGCGTGTTATAAATTCAGAATTGCGTGATATAAAGTCAAAATTGCGTGTTATAAAGTCAGAATTGCGTGATATAAAGTCGAAATTGCGGGTTGTAAAGTCAGAATTGTGAGATATAAACTCGCAATTGCGAGTTATCAGGCCAATTCTAAGGGGGAAAAAAGACTAACTTTTTCCCCCTTAGAATTGGCCTGATAACTCGCAATTGCAAGTTTATATCTCACAATTCTGAGAAAAGATGTCAGAATTTCGAGATATAAACTCGCAATTATGTTTTATAAAGTCAGAATTGCGAGATGTAAACTGGCAATTGTGAGAAAAAAAGTCAGAATTGTGAGATAAAAAGTGGCAATTCTGTCTTTTTTTCTCGCAATTGCGACTTTATTTCTCATAATTGCGACTTTATATCTCGCAATTGCGGCTTTATTTCTCAGAATTGCGACTTTATATCTCATAATTGCGACTTTATATCTCGCAATTGCGGCTTTATTTCTCAGAATTGCGACTCTATATCTCAGAATTGCGACTTTATATCTCAGAATTGTGACTTTATATCTCGCAATTGTGACTTTATTTCTCACAATTCTGGCTTCATATCTCATAATTGCGACTTTATATCTCGCAATTGCGACTTTATTTCTCAGAATTGCGACTTTATATCTCAGAATTGCGACTTTATATCTCGCAATTGCGACTTTATTTCTCACAATTCTGACTTCATATCTCGCAATTGTGAGGTAATTTTTTTTATTCAGTGGCGGAAACAAGCTTCCATAGGTACTACTGTATGGGGTCAGTAAGATTTTTTTTTTTTTAAATAAATTTATATTTTTATTCAGCAAGGATGCATTAAAGTCACTGTAAATTCATTTATAATGTCAGAAAACATTCCATTTCAAATAAAGGCTGTTCTTTTAAAAGTTCAAATCATCAGATAATCCTGAAAAAAAATATTGCGGTTTGGTTTCCACAAATAATATTACGCATATAACTGTTTTCAACACTGATATTTCACAATATTACGGTTTTTACTCTACAAATAAATGCAGACTTGGTTGACATCTTACCAACCCCAAACTTTTGAATTATATTATATAATTATTTGTGACTGTTTTTAACGGTTTTTACTTTATTCATGTGATTTATTTCTCAGATTTATGGTGCGTCTCCTCATCCCTAACACAAGAAACCATTAAAGGGAGCTGCTCGGACAAGCAATATATTTTATGGTGGACACGGAATAAAATGAAAAAAAATATATAACTGCACAGAGACACTTAAACATGTATTTTTTAGAGCCTCTCTCCTCTGTTCTCCTAAAGCAAAGCGAAAATAAATCGAATGATCTTTTGTCTCCTTGTGACTGATAGAACATGTATGTACGGAAAGCGCATGTATTGTTCTATTTTCCGTCAGCTATTTTTGGTGTGGTGTTGTGATATAATTTTTCCCACAGTAAAAATATCATACCATGTGTTATTTTTTATTTTATTTTTTCCATCTTTAACTGGGGGTCTCTACAGTCTTCCAGTTCACAGACATGACGGTCTATTGCTGTTTGAGGATCTATTGAGACGCTAGCAGGTCATGAATTCATCGTTTACAGTACAGGGATTCCTGTAAGGAATTGCAGATTACGATTATGATGCCTTTTTGAATGCAGTTGTATGTTTGAATGGTTTATGTGGGAGGTGTTTTTTCTTTGTAGTTTGTTTCCTCAAGTGCATTTACAAGGATCCTCTTGAAAATAACTGTACAATTATTTTGCAAACACTAAATGATCCATTGGCCCGTTTAGCTTAAAACTAAGGTTTTAAATGTATTTTTTAGAGCCACTAATAAATTCACAGGTGTTGCATTAGATTTGGTGGAAAAACTTTCTCTCAACACAGTTGTGTTGGTTTAAGGGCAACCACAACATTGCCATTTTGTTTAACTTCAGGACTCGCTTTTTGACGCTTTAAAATGCTCAAATAGCTTCCATAGCTGACAGTAGAAACAAAAATATGACTTTTAAACCCAACGGTGTCTTCCATATTTTTTTGCTCATAAAATCTTCAACAGATCCAGACAGGTTTTTCTAGAGCGTTCAATGATGTTGTGTACTATTAATTGTGGCAGGATGGTATTTTCAAGAAGGGATTTTTACTTTAAAAAAAATAAAACTAATAAAAAACATAAGCCCCTTTTGTTGGTTTTGTTAGTTTGGAATGTTCTGTTCTGCAAATAAAGATGTAATGATGATAGGGGCTCAGATACATTGTTTTTGGGTGTGTTGACGGTGTTTGCTTTCATTAGAACTGATTTAGTCCATCTTTATGTATGTTGTGATCAAACCGGCAATGTATTTACACCCTATAGAAGGACAATGTGACGTTTCTGGAAGATTACAAAGCATGCAAGGGACAGTGTTGCCAATTCCAGGGGTTTTCCACAGGTTAAAGGTCACTCGTCCATTGGGCTATTTTAGGCAATTATAAAATTTTTGGTTTGTTTCTCAAATCATTGTATACCTTCAGAATATTTGAAATATAGCCTACAGAATGAGTTGAATGGGTTTATTTTATGACACCTCTGCATCCTCCTAATCTGCCAATAAATGGCCAATCTCAAGCGGGACTTTTTTAATCTGTTTTTTTTTGTGTGTGTTCCAAAAACAGAAGGTAGGACGAACAAAGCTTTAAAACAACATCAATTTGAGTAAATAATTAGCCTGTTGAATTTCCATTTTTGTGTGAACTGTGCCAGAGAAAATGTATTCACCTTCAACATTTCTCACATTACCACAGTTTATTCGCTATAGTTTAGAAAATGGTAATAAAATATGACAAGAACTTTCATCTTTTTTAAGAATAGTTATCAAATCAGTTGATATTTCACAGGTTTTGGCCATCCTTCTGTTAGACTGTCTCACAGATGAATTAGGTTAAATATCTGCCTGCTGTTAAATTTAAGTACACAATTAGATTATATCACTTTAGGTCACCCAATTACCAAGCAATGCTTAACTTTGTTCAGTCTGTGGTGTAAAAAGGTCGCATTAGCAATTAAAGAAAAAACACTGTGTATGAATAATTTTTGGTCCCACATTTTTATACTTTTTACCGGTAGTCCGCTGTATGAATAATTTTTGGGTATGATATGTCACAGTTTACTTTATTTTGCTATCCTCACTTACATAAATGAACTATAGTGTCCTGCACCCACTAGTAAAAAAAATATATCTGGTGTCTGAATAATTAGTGGTTTGACTGTTTTTATTTCTCGGTTTCTTGATGTAAGAGAGCTTGTTTCTCCAATGCAGGACTGAAAGTCTCTTTCTCAGTATTGTGGTCTCTTCTGGTCTGTATTTTGGTCTATAGTTTCCCTCTCAATCTTTGATGGCACTAGATCTTATGAGGATGAAGGCTGGTCAGGGAAGGGCAGCTTCTCTTTCTTCCCAATAGCATAGGCTGCGGGATTCCACAACTAAACACCTTTTTTTGTCTTCTTTGTATTGAACACTGAAGTTCAATACAGTGCAGCAGAATGTATTTCTCATTTATTTCAGTACCTTTGGAAGCTGATCCAGTGAAACGGACGAAGAATCACCAATCTGCTGCTGAATAAACATGAACACAAACAGAAGTTTACATGATGAGACAGAAGGCTTATTCAGGACAACACTGAGGTCAGCCGGTCTAGACGCTTGTCCGCAGAAAGCCAATCAAATTGAACACGCAGGGCCTTGAATGTCAGGGAATGAATACGTTTTATTGCATAGCGTTGCAGTAATTATACAGTGAATGAGGTTTATTCAGACAAAATATGCATTTGAAATCTTACAATACTGCATACAGAATGAAAATATTATTTAAAACCATTGTGTAAGTGTAACTGGTCTTACCTTAGTCTGGAAACAAGTCTTTTCCTGACAGTTTGATCAAAACATTATAAAACATATAGTGAACGTTTATCTGTCACGTACAGGAGGAACCAGACGCCCATACGTTACAAATAATAATACATCAAAATGGGAAAACAGGCAAAAGTTCTCAAATATTCAACTAAAAACTTTACAAAGGGGAGTTATTAGACTTGATCTCACTAATCATGATCAATGCAACAGCTTTTCTACATACGGTTTTTGAAGATCCACTTGACGGTTCAGACCGATTACTGCTAAACAAAACACCAAAGAGTTCAAATGACTAAAACGTCAATGATGGACTGATGATTCTTCACATCTATTTATAAATTACAGGAACGTCTGTCTGTGTGTGTCCATGTGTCTGTCTGTATGTCTGTCTCTCCGTCTGTCTGTTAATCGAATATCTCTCGAACCGTTAGTCCGACGGATTTCATTTCAAACGTTGTTTGAAGTTGTTTGGATTAGAAATGCAAAAGATATCGTTACATATATCAGTAAAAGAAGCACACAATGAAGTTGTGGTTTAAAAATGGTGGTTTAAAAATAAACATTCGTTCAGCTAAACATTTAGTCAGCTACACTGTTCTGAATATTGTAGTTATTTAGAAGTAGGCCTAGTTAGTTGTCAGTAGTTAATATTTTCAATTTTACATATTTATTGTATGTCATTATGTCAGTATCAGTATTTGCTTTCAACCATGCACAAATAAAAATGTCACTGAACTTTTGCTGTGTAATTGTAAAAATGAGCACTCAAACACACCAAACCAACGATTACTAAAAACACGCACAAAAACTGATTTTGCACATACTGTCAAATCGATTAATCGCGATAAAAAAAAAAAATACAGTACACACACGTATAATATACAGGTTATATAATATATACACAGACACACATACATCCATCTATAAATAACAGAAACGTCTGTGTCTGTTATTCGCATATCTCGGTAAAAAAAGCACACATTGAAGATGTTTAGATGATGTTTAGAAGGTTGTGGTTTAAAAATAAACATTCTGACATTAGAGGGTTGTGGTTTAAAAATATCTGAATATTATATTTTATTCTGGTACGCTTAACAGTATCGCTACTGTGTAGCCTAACAGTAGCCTATGCTATTCACCAACTAAACATAAAAGACGCTAACTGCCTTTCATTGTCTCTATAATTGTAATCTGAACAATCATGACAACAGAGTTGACACTTATATAGGCCTAAATCTAATCTAATCTAATCAAACTCCTGCTACCTGTACACAAATACCCAAATACATGTCACCTAAAATCACCATTATCATTTTTTTTGCAACCATGTAGTTCAATTTTCCATATTTATTGTATGTCATTATGTCAGTATCAGTATTTGCTTTCTACCATGCACAAATAAAAATGTCACTGAACTTTTTGCTGTCTAATTGTAACAATAAGCACTCAAACACACCAAACCAACAATTACTAAAAACACGCACAAAAACTGATTTTGAACAGGCATATCTGTTATTCGCATATCTCTAGAACCGTTAGTCCGATGGATTTCAAACTTGACAGGTGTTTTACTACGGGCACGAGTAAGTGCAGTGCCAAGTTTGACGTTGTTTGGATTAGAAATGTATCTGTAAAAGAAGCACACATTGGCTTTTGCACTGAGTGACCACTCCCCCTCTCACACTGCACAGTGAGTGGCCACTCCCCCTCTCACACTGCACAGTGAGTGGCCACTCCCCTTCTTACACTGCACACTGAGTGACCACTCCCCCTCTCACACTGCACAGTGAGTGACCACTCCCCTTCTTACACTGCACACTGAGTGACCACTCCCCCTCTCACACTGCACAGTGAGTGGCCACTCCCCCTCTCACACTGCACACTGAGTGACCACTCCCCTTCTTACACTGCACACTGAGTGACCACTCCCCCTCTCACACTGCACAGTGAGTGACCACTGCCCTTCTTACACTGCACACTGAGTGGCCACTCCCCCTCTCACACTGCACAGTGAGTGGCCACTCCCCCTCTCACACTGCACACTGAGTGACCACTCCCCTTCTTACACTGCACACTGAGTGACCACTCCCCCTCTCACACTGCACACTGAGTGGCCACTCCCCCTCTCACACTGCACACTGAGTGGCCACTCCCCTTCTTACACTGCACACTGAGTGACCACTCCCCCTCTCACACTGCACAGTGAGTGACCACTCCCCTTCTTACACTGCACACTGAGTGACCACTCCCCCTCTCACACTGCACAGTGAGTGGCCACTCCCCCTCTCACACTGCACACTGAGTGACCACTCCCCTTCTTACACTGCACACTGAGTGACCACTCCCCCTCTCACACTGCACAGTGAGTGACCACTCCCCTTCTTACACTGC